AAGCTATAGTCTCTTGGAAAGTGTTTTTTGGAAAGTCATAGCCATCTGCCCCACCAAAATGATTCAGATTTGTGTTTCACTGACTTGCTTTTGAGAGTAGTGTTTTTCCCACTTCCATGTGCTAGGAGGGCTTGTGGAAAATAGAACCCAAGGACCAACCCCCAAGGACTCTCAGTCTACAGGCCTGAGCAAGATGCAAAAATGTTCATTTCTCACCAGCTCCTGGCAGATGCTGGTATTGTCTTCTTTGGATCATGCTTTGAATAACACTGTTCTAGAATCTTCTGGCATGGAGAGGGACACAAGGGAGGGTTGTGTGATGAATGGAAGCCCAACCATTTTAACTATATAAATTCTAGAGCTAATGGCTATTTAGATAAATAACTTAAGGAATTTCATGAGCTGATAATTTAGTCATCTATTGTTGTGGGTTTTCTGCTTAGTAGCTGAATGACCAACTTAAGTCATTATAGTTTTGTATACCACAATTATTACCTCAAAGTGGACTACTATTTTTTAAAGCCTCTTTATGGGCTTTGTTTTCTCTGAGATAGATAACTATGCAAATACAAAAAAAGAAAAACAAAAACTTTCAATTGTCCCATTCCACTTGTCCCTAGCTTTCTCGGGAGCTGGCGGTCAGCATAGACAGTCTGTGCTCTGTACAAACAACTAAACAAGACTTAAGTTCCAAATAAACACAGTGAGGTGCTGTGGTCAGGGGAAAGAAGTGAGAGAGGAGGGGAAGGAACACAGCCTAAACTGTCCTTGTCATGAGGTAAAAATGGAAGGAATCTAAAAAATATGAAGGAAGGAGAGATGGAGGAGGGAGGCAAAGAAGAGGAAAGGGAGAAAAGAAGGGAAGAAGGGAGAGAGGGAAGGAGGGAACAGAGAGAGGGGGGATTTATTCAGTTATTCAGACTTTAGGACTGAATATCCCTCTAAAAGCTGGACAAAATAACAAACATGCCTGAAGTTCATGAAGAATACAAGTAGAAGACACATAATTTTGATCCTGTTCTGGAGCAACCTGTTACAAAAGATCTCCTATAAAATAAAAGTCTTCATTTTCCTGGGTATGAGCTGGAGAGAGTGAAAGGCTTACACACACACACACTTTTAGAGCATTCTACTTGCACAAGTCATAGACACTAAGTCTTTTCTGGATGAACAGGGAAAAAATGCCAAATTAACAAACATTAGAAATCCTTCCTAGTCAATGAAGCCACCAGCAATTTCACATTCAGTTTCATTTGTTAGTTTAAAAAGAGCCAGAGAGCACTTAGCAAGTGGTTACCTCTCAGAGCTTCCCGAGAACTGTTCTTCTTTGTACTACATTTTAAACAAATATGGTTGAAAATAAAATTACTCCAAATATTTGCCTTCCAGATATTTTTAACTTTAAGCCTTAAAAACTATTGAAGTTGCTTCCTTTTTGTCTGAGATTTGAACCCACAAGTTGCCTCGACAAGGAGGGCCCTTTGGTTCTTCTCCTGGTTGCAAAACCATTTCAGCTTTAAACCACCTGTTGTCGATGATCTGTTATTGCTCAGCCTTGGTGCTTGCCACATTGAACAACTTAGGACAAGGGAGTAGAACAGGATCTGGCTTCTGACGCATCCTACTCCAGACCCTTCATGGTATAGAGGAAACAGGATCTCTAAGAGGTTGAGGGGCTCTATCAAGGCAATCCAGCCATCCAGCAGCAGAGCTGGGTCAAAACTGGAAACACCAATCTGAATATCAGCCAATGTTTTGCATATAACTTAAAAGCATGTTCCTGAATGAAGTAGAAACCATGCACTAAAATAAAAGCAACTGTTCTACTCCCAGATCGATTAAGACTTCTAATATTGACAAGACAGAGATTAAGAGAAATGCTGAATGCCCACATTCTGTTTGAAATCTTGAGGCCACCTAGTGTGCAGTCAGCATACTGTATTTTTTCTGTTATTATTGGTACACATGCCTATCTTTTTAGAGTGCATTCTCCACCAGGGATGGATGAATGATGTCCTGTTTATCTCTGTGCCCCCTCCTGACTTCATAGCATAGATTTTACACATACTGATACTAAGCACATCATTTTCTAAACAAATGAATTCCCCAAACACCCAGGCAGAGCAAGGATTGCAAAGATGTTCTATAGATTGAGAATGGGAAAAAATAATCACCTGGAATTTTATTAAGTAGAAAATTCAGAGAGGGAAGCTGCCTAAGTATGGAGAATTACCAGGGAGTGGTTTCTAGACTATCAAATATTTTTCTGGAGCCCACTCAATCAGGGACTTGACTTCTTAGGATATTTCATTTCTTTCTTTCTTTCTTTCTTTTTTTTTTTTTTTTTTTTGAGACAGGGTCTCACTATGTAGTGAGACTGACCTGGAACTCACTGTGTAGCCCAGGCTGGTCTCGAACTCACAGTGATCCTCCTGCCTCAACCTCCCAAGTGCTGGGATTACAGGCATGTGCCACCATACCCTGTTATATTTCACTGTCTTAATCAGAAGTTCCACACACCTCAGCAATGCTGTCCCTCTTAAGGGACAAGTACTGGTGCAATCCCTCTGGAAAAGTTTAATCGGGCTAATTGCGTCACAATACCAGCCCAAATTAATTAGACTTTTAGAAAGTTGTCAACACTCTTTAAAGTAACCTGGGTATCAACTCTCCATAGCTTTCACCAAGTAGTAAACACTCAAGTTCTAAAGGCTTTAAATTCTACCCCAAGAATCCCTCAAAGATCCTTTTCTTCTCCAAGACATTCACTCTACTGTTTTTTTTTTATTTACATACTAAACAGAAATTAAAAATCAGGGGGAAAAAAAGCAGAAACTTCAGACTCCAAGAAAGATCACAAAACTTCAAGTTTCAAAAAACCTATTTCTGTAGTTATTTCACAAAGAAGCAGAGTAGTGTCGACTTGTAACCCCCAAGCAGCATCCCCGTCTCAGAAAAGTCTCACTGCATCCATGAAAACCCAAAGCATCCCTGCCAGAAGCAGAACCAAGTGTCTTCAGATCTAGAAATCAATGAATCAAGCAATTAAAATTAAACCTCCTGCCACATGTGGTGGCACACGCCTGTAATGCCAGTACTCGGGAGGCTGAGGTGGGAGGATCACCATGAGTTCAAAGCCAGCCTAGGCTACATAGTACATTTGAAACCAGTGAACTACAAAATGAGACCTTGTCTAAAATAAAATTTCTTAAATCTCCAGGCCTTTCACTGCAGCACAAATATATTTTAAACATCCAATCACTAATTTCTCTTCTATAACCTTGTCTATAATAGCTTAATATTAAAAATTGGCTGTAAAAATCACAACCTTACTCTCAAGGCACATTTATTTTGTGTTTCATAAGTAGAAGTATCACTTTGTAAGTGCACCACGCACTTACAACACATCTTTCAATAGAGTCCTGAATTCTCTAACTGTCCACTTAGTAACTATTTTTCATAGGCTGGTGGCAGGTAGGAGCAAGTATTTCTAACCCCATTTCAGAATGAGGAAACAGCCTCAGGGACCTGAACTAAGTCAATTCAGTTGTGAGGCTGAAATAGAAAATCAAACTTCAAGATGATCTTGAATCAAATCAAGCCAGAAAAGAAGGTAGGAATTGGTGGTGACACATGCTTAGCCATATGTGACACCAGAAAAATCATCAAAATAAACCTTATTTTTTTTAAAAAAAGAAGCATTACTATCAAATTCTAAATATTGTTGTTCATACATATGCCATTACTTTGACAAATTCATTGCTTGAGCTTGCTCTTTGGAGTGTGACCAAATGTTATATGTGCTGTTATCTACACTGCTTTATTTTTCTGCCTAAGTATAACCCATGGAATACTTGAAATGACTATTTGCCTCACAAAATTACTTGTTACACTATGTGCTTATTCTAAGATCTTGATTTTGATTTTACAATCTACTCAAAAACACTTGTTAATTAGTTTATTAGGAATTGGAGCAGAGTCAGAGGGAACTGTTCAAAAATTTGAAAGTAAGCTTACTTCTAACACCTCCTAAAAACCAATAGACTCCATCAAGAACACTCAACTATCTAGCAACTAAGATGGGTAGAATCTGATAACATAGGCCTGACTCCTACCTAATACCTTAACTGTACCAAACTATGTTTCCCACCTAAATGGAAACAACACACTAACTCAAAGCTTTCTGCTCCCAGATCACTTCTGCCTTCCAACACTGGCATGACATATTTAAGAGGAACATGGAATGTCTGTCTGAAACCTTCCTGTCTCTTCACAACACCCTCTCTCCTCCCACCTCTGCTCTGCCTCTTCCATATACTGAATGCCACTGGAATTTCAAAGCCCAACAAATTTAGAGTTGCTCATAAAGAGAAAAAAGAAAGAGCTAGAAAGTTTGACTAATGACAAATCACCCTCCCCAGACTGCAATACCCACAATTCTTTCTGCCTTTGTAGGAAACAAAAGATATAATAGATGAGGAAGGAAGAAATGGAAGATGAGGGAAACCAGAAGTTGTGTTCTAGGCAGGAACTGGATACAATGCAGCTGAATTAGTAATCCCTCAAAATAAAAACAAGACAATTCAAAATTCTGTCAACTCAAGAAAAAATGAAATGCACAGAATATTCACTTGAGTAGATTCAGCCCAAGGTCCTCCACTGGAAAGGGAGAGATTGTTTCATTTTATAAAAAAGATCTGGGATAGAACCTAGATTCTCTCATCTCATCAAGCTCATACACTGAACTCCTATGCTAACCTCTCCCTGACTAAGATTGCTGAGAAGATCAAGGCTTCTTGGGACTAGACCTTGAGCCAGAAAATAGAAAAGAAGAACTTCAGTCAAAGCATTAAACTACCTATTTTCTTATTCTTTCTTCTCCTCTAGTCAGGTGGCTCTGTGAGGGCAGGATTTAAAACATCTGGGATGCCCATCCCAGTATGTGAATCCTGGCAGGCATTTGGATGATTTGCTACGTGATGAGACCAAAGTCTACTTACACTTATGAGAGAGAAGCACATCAAAGGAATCTGCCCACCTTGTAGCTTCCTCAGTGGATAATCTCCTAGGAAAGAAGAAACATCTGTCTTAGAATGACCTCCTCCTACTCAGCCACCAAGATTTGCTCAGGAGGATAAATTAGAACAATGGAGGACAAATGCAGACTACACCCGGATTCCTGAAATTCTGATGCTATAAATCTGTACATCCATAAGTAACTGTTGGAAAAACCTCAGGGTGCAAATTCAGAATATTGGCTCTCAGACTAAACAAAAGCTAAGTAACAGCATGATTTAAAGATGTCAAAATAACACTGGAAAGAAACTGGTTTTGGAATAAGAAAAGCTAGACTCAGCTCATGACTCCATCTCACTGTCACCTTGAATTCTTCCCCTCTGAAGAGGGAATGGTGATGCCCATTACAGAGCTGGCTGAGGGTGAGTCTAGGTGATGTGTTCAACATCATTTAATACAGTTCCTGCACGCAGTATCCAGTTTATCTGAACCTAAGCATATTTTTAGAGTAACTTTCAGTGTTTATTTCCAAATTGAGAGCTCAGATTGACAACTAAGTAGAACCGAGAAGTATCCTTCACCTCCCACAGTATCTGAGTGATGGTTGACATGCTCTCCTAGGAGGAGAAAGGCTCCTGCTATGATATCATGAAGTTATAACTTCCTTCTACTCACACTGGTGATATCAAAGGAGGTGCTGAGAGGCAGTACTATATTGTCCTAAGGCTCTCTGGCCTGCAGCTCACTTGAGAAGAATAAGTTATATAACTCAATAGCAGACACCCCCTTGGCGGGCACCCCAGGACTGCTATGTGTCCATACTACTCACTTGAGAGCACGGTTGGGTTTGTCAGGAAGGATAGCTGTGAAATCACTGCATGAGTCTGACTTGTGAGACAGGCATCCCAGTCGAGTCCTCATCCCTTTGTTCCTGAAATAAGCAGGAGACAGAAGGGCAGGAACTGTCATGATTGTAGCTGTCAGCTCTATAAAGGGCCCTAGAGCTGCTGCAGCAGGAGCCGGTGCTGCAGCCCCCTCGGCCCCCACCCCAGGTGGCCCCTGAGGAGTTCACAGACAGGCAGGGAACATCTCAAGAGCCAAGGGATAAACTCCCTCCCTATCTTGACTCCTGGCATAGCAATAGGTCCCCTGCCCTACACCTAGAGGGTGAAAGCTTTTTAAAGCTGACACAGCAAGTAGATGATATGTCAATAAAGGTCATTAGCCTGGAAGAATTTCTAAATTAGGATTCTCTATAGGGAAAGGAAACACAGTGGTGACAAAATAACAGCCCACATTTTGCTTTCCCACTAGGAGGGCAAAGTAGCAGCAGCAGCTCCTAACTGGGAAGCCCAGAGTCATGCTCATACAAAGAGTAGAGGGAGGCTTGCAGAACACAGGGTGCGGAGCAGGGAGTCACAGCACAGACCCAGTGTTGGCTTTGGGGGCAGGCCAATGCCTGTGCAGGTTCTTCCTCACTCATGCCACCCACTGGGTACAAATATGAAGGACTCAGACCAGCAAGGGTGATTCCTTCAGGTGAGGAGAAGGGTAATGGACACAATCCATAATTAAGAACCAATATCCCCTGTGTCAGTTCTTCTACTTGTTTAACTAAGCTCTTTTGTCCCTATTTACATTTTGGCTTATCTCAATAAGCATATTTTAAATGTTAACATGTATGTTTAAATTTCTCATACATTTTTATTTTCCAAATGACCCTCAATAATGATAGGATCCAATGAAAAACCACACAAATGTTTCTTTCCAACTTTCAACATTAGCCTCTATTTATCTTTAACCAAGTGTCGGCCAGCTGCATCCCCACAAGGTGTCTGTTTATGTACCTGGAGTTTTATTGGAACATAACACCATTTGTTCACATGTTGCCCAAAGCTGCTTTCAACTACAAGGACAAAGTCAAGTAGTTACAACACACACCACGTGGCCCACAATGCTGAAAATATTTACTCTCTGGCCCTTGACAGAATACATTGCTGACCCATGACCTTTAACCATGATAACCCCTCATGTTAAAGACAAAGATAAGTGAGAAGAGTTTAGTATAATTAGAGCAGGACTTCAGACTGACTTATAAAGGGGGATTGCCACGTGGACATTGGTAGCAATTTGCCAGGAAATTGGTGCTAACAGATGCCATTTTCCATGTTGAAAACAAGTCCTTCAAATTCTTCTTTTTCACAAATCCTAGAGTTGGGCAAAGACCTTAGACATCATCCAATTTAATCACTTCCTTATGCTTCAAATGGATTTCTATCCATGGTGCTGGTAATTGTCTTTGTTACCAGAAATCTTATCCAACAAATGTCTACTGGGATGGCATTGTATTTGCCAGGAATGGATATTTGTATTCCATGGCACATCACTGAAGAGCCTGTTAGGGTTACAATATCCAAGTTTCCAGAAATAACTTCTCTCCTCCAAAAAATTGGTCTTTGCCTTTTTTCTCAGCCAGGCCACTCTGTAAAGCGAACTATTTCATGGCATTTCAAAAGACTGGCTGTAGCTATTCTCTCTGCTGAGACCAAGAGCATCTGTGTATCCACTCCTCCAAATCACAGATGCCCAACACCAAGTTATGCAAGCAACTAACTAGAGGCCCTTGAGCCATCCATCACATTCCATGAGTTCAAGTAAAGCCCCTATTCATGTTTCATGGGGCCAAAACCCTACATCCAGTGAGCCAGTTCATTCCTCAGTGTCTTAGGATGATCATGACACAACCAGGTCTGCCCCTAAAGAATAAATAAAAGGACTCTCAAAAACCAGCAAATCCTGGCCAGGGATTTAGCTCAGTGTTTCAGCTGCCTGACTCACAAGGGCAAGGTCCTGAGTTTGATCCCCGGTACCAAAAATAAAAAACAAAAAAAGCAGCAAATCCACACATGCCATTTTACAAGGTTTAGCAGGGGTCAGTATAATTATTTGTTACCCAGAAAACATGATTTGCTCAGTTTGTAAGAATCTTCAACAAAATATTATTTGGGACAGCTTTGTTTTTATATTTCATCTTTCCAGGTAAGACCTAAGTTACACTCTTCTTAGGTCTAAAACAATGGGAATACTGAAGTAAGAGTCAAAAGCTAAGGTGCCATATAGACACCATTTGTTCACATGTTGCCCAAAGCTGCTTTCAACTACAAGGACAAAGTCAAGTAGTTACAACACACACCACGTGGCCCACAATGCTGAAAATATTTACTCTCTGGCCCTTGACAGAATACATTGCTGACCCATGACCTTTAACCATGATAACCCCTCATGTTAAAGACAAAGATAAGTGAGAAGAGTTTAGTATAATTAGAGCAGGACTTCAGACTGACTTATAAAGGGGGACTGCCACGTGGACATTGGTAGCAATTTGCCAGGAAATTGGTGCTAACAGATGCCATTTTCCATGTTGAAAACAAGTCCTTCAAATTCTTCTTTTTCACAAATCCTAGAGTTGGGCAAAGACCTTAGACATCATCCAATTTAATCACTTCCTTATGCTTCAAATGGATTTCTATCCATGGTGCTGGTAATTGTCTTTGTTACCAGAAATCTTATCCAACAAATGTCTACTGGGATGGCATTGTATTTGCCAGGAATGGATATTTGTATTCCATGGCACATCACTGAAGAGCCTGTTAGGGTTACAATATCCAAGTTTCCAGAAATAACTTCTCTCCTCCAAAAAATTGGTCTTTGCCTTTTTTCTCAGCCAGGCCACTCTGTAAAGCGAACTATTTCATGGCATTTCAAAAGACTGGCTGTAGCTATTCTCTCTGCTGAGACCAAGAGCATCTGTGTATCCACTCCTCCAAATCACAGATGCCCAACACCAAGTTATGCAAGCAACTAACTAGAGGCCCTTGAGCCATCCATCACATTCCATGAGTTCAAGTAAAGCCCCTATTCATGTTTCATGGGGCCAAAACCCTACATCCAGTGAGCCAGTTCATTCCTCAGTGTCTTAGGATGATCATGACACAACCAGGTCTGCCCCTAAAGAATAAATAAAAGGACTCTCAAAAACCAGCAAATCCTGGCCAGGGATTTAGCTCAGTGTTTCAGCTGCCTGACTCACAAGGGCAAGGTCCTGAGTTTGATCCCCGGTACCAAAAATAAAAAACAAAAAAAGCAGCAAATCCACACATGCCATTTTACAAGGTTTAGCAGGGGTCAGTGTAATTATTTGTTACCCAGAAAACATGATTTGCTCAGTTTGTAAGAATCTTCAACAAAATATTATTTGGGACAGCTTTGTTTTTATATTTCATCTTTCCAGGTAAGACCTAAGTTACACTCTTCTTAGGTCTAAAACAATGGGAATACTGAAGTAAGAGTCAAAAGCTAAGGTGCCATATAGGCTTTTCCTGTTCTGTCTTCTCTCTACAACTCCTGGCCCAGTAACTTGTAGAAGTCCTGAATGATTCCATACAAGCTCATGCACTATCTCTCATCCCACCCATGAGTCACTGCCAAGCGATCTTGCCAGTCAATGCAAGGACACATAGCTAAGGCAGGCCCTGCTTGCAAGGCCACAGCTTTGCAGAGAAGCACACAGCACGAGCAGCACAGTTTGCTCAGGAGGCCTAGGAGGACAGGTGCAAGTGGACCACCCAGTCACCTGAAGGCTTGGGCAAACCTCAAACAGCAGGGAAGGTGGGAAGGTAAAGAGGAGAGGAGTAGGGACAAACAGGTCATGGATCCGTTACCTGCGTGGCATCAGTAAGGCAGCCATACAGGCATCCGTTTATGGTTAACCCTTGGGCTGGTTTGCAGGGACGTCAGGGCAGGAAATAAGACTGCGGGGCTCAGGGATTTACCCTTTCACGTCCTTTCACCTAAAATCAAAGAATCTGCTGTAAGAGAGGCCACCCTCTCTCATCTGACTGCTCAGCATGTCCTTCAACTGGTTCTCTACCAATGGAACTCTCCCCACACACAAACACCCCAGCTCCCACAAGCATCCGCTGCTCCTCAGCAAGGGCAACCAACCAGGGATGGAGAACAAATAGTTAGATGGCTTTGCACTGCTCACTGTTAGGAGTTCCTACTTCCTCAGCCACTCGCCATCAACAGAAATCGGGATATATGCCCCCAAGGAGGCACGGGCCTGGCAAACCAGAACTTACTGTTGTCTTTGTCTGACTAGAGTGGGGCTCAAGTGACCAGGCAGGAGGGGAGGGTGAGGAGCCAGCACTTGCTTCAAAATGATGTGATTGACTCCTGCTGTGGTTCTCACCTCCTTCCAATGGTACCTGGGTGGGCGGATGTGGAGACTTGGGAAGGTAGGAGCCGAAGGAGGTGGGAGCAACTCCAACAGGGGCTTGGCAGGCACCCTCTCCACATGGGCTTGCTCCTTTGAAAAGTGATCCCAGGCACTGACTGAGGAAATGAATATGCAAGTCACCCTTTCTACCCATGTGGAGCTCCTGTGACCTTTCTCAGCCTAGGGGGGCCTGGCCCATTCCTGATCCGAAGCAGGGAGAACATTGGGGTGGGGGAAAGGAAATATTGATTTTTATTGACTTATGATCTCTCTCTCCTGAGGGTCTCAGTGCTTCAGACCCTTTGTTCCCACAGAAGAGGCTGATAGGAAGAAACATGTGAGGAGAGCAGCCGATCTGCAAAGGGTTCCCTTGGGGAACTCTGACACCAAACATAGAATCCATTTTAAAGAAAATCTAATTTGGATAAATAAGTCTCCTATGTAAGCTACACCATTTAAAGTATTTTGATAGTACCCTGAACATTTCGCAAATACTTCTTTAAATGACTTTACTAATGATGCTATAATTAATAAAAATAAGTGAAAACTAAAAGAAGAAGAAAACAATTAGGTTTTATGTAAAGTCTCATCCTCATGGACAATATCCCCTGATAACAGGGACATTTCTTCAGTCACCATCCTAACCAGGCTTATACCTGCTTGCCCAGAAGTCAGGAAATCAAAGCCCTTTACAGCTGTAATGGTCTCTAGAAATCATCTTTGGAGCACCTGCCTTTTTTTCCTCTTGCTTGTGGGATATACCCCAGGGGAAGGGCCTCATTCTCCTGCAGCTGAGCAGAACTAGATACTACTACCCACATACACTACAACAAGGTCATTTAGGGCAAGGGGCCATCAAGCAAGGTTCCTGCCTTGTCACCCTTGCCATTTACACTACTAACACTCTCTCTCTCTCTCTCTCTCTCTCTCTCTCTCTCTCAAATTCATTCTGCCCACAAACACCCACTCCTTTGATGAGTCCAGCTTTGGGCTCCACTAAATGAGAACCAGCAGGATACTCTGCCCCAGCTGCCTGGTCCATTCTGACACTTTTCCATTCTTATCCCATTTGGCTCTAGACTAAAGGGGGACAGAGTAAGAGGTTGTCCAGAGATCAGGACATTCAAAAGTATGATTACACCACAGTGCGTGCCCACAAACACCCACTCCTTTGATGAGTCCAGCTTTGGGCTCCACTAAATGAGAACCAGCAGGATACTCTGCCCCAGCTGCCTGGTCCATTCTGACACTTCACCATTCTTATCCCATTTGGCTCTAGACTAAAGGGGGACAGAGTAAGAGGTTGTCCAGAGATCAGGACATTCAAAAGTATGATTACACCACAGTGCGTGTGTCCTCATAAGTGGACCCCAAGTCACAGGTGACTGGAGCAGACAGGATGGGACCTAACGGGAAAAGAGGAAACAGGGAAAAAACAAAGATTAAAAAGCAAAAAGCAAAGATTTATAAAGAGGGAGAGAGAAACTAAGAGCCTCAGCAGGGAGAAAGTAATCAATATGCATGAAGAGGCAGGTGAATTAAATATGGATAATGCGATCGGCACACTAGGCCACCCCAGAGAGGAAAGAGAACAGCAAAAATGATACTCACTGTCGCTGACCAGTCCTCATGGCCTGCAGTTCATTGCCAACTGGATGGTCAGAGAGGCTGCAGGTTAAGGGGCTCTGAGGAAAGAGTAGATCTTTCTTTTAGCAGTGGAATCCTTGGTGGGTGGAGGGCATGTTTGCATGGACACACAGGCTCGCGCACACACACATATACACAAGCATGCACGCACAACACACCTCCCACCAAATGAGCCAGGCAGCAAGCGGCCCTGCTGAAAGCTCTTCTCTCTGCTTGTCACATCCAGTAAATACTGAAGCAGCCTACACCGGGCGGGCGGTGGCTTAGCTCCCAGGCATAGTCTGCAAGCCCATCCTCATTGGCAGGACGCAGGAGGTGCCCCTGAGCGGAATGACCTGGCACACTGCCCGAACCTTCCTCCTCAGCCTCACTAACCTGGAGCTTCTCTGGCTGCAGCTCAGGGAAAAGTCCCCACAGCCCACGGCTGCTTCTCTCTGCACCCAGCGAAGAGTCGGTATTAACTCTTTCAGGCACCAATGAACTGAAAATCAAGTGTCCAGGAGGCCCCTTCTAATGAGCTCTGCTGCTGGCTGGGGGCTCGTTGCTTCACAGGGAGCATAAAGATCTTGCCCCAGACAGCTGCTGACGGCAGGAGCCAAGCCGAATCAAATCTCCTAATGAGCCAGGAGGAGGGGGCCTGTCTTGCTGGGTGTGATGTGATGTGATAAATGCAGAGAGCAAGAAAGCTACGGGGCAGGTCACACATCTAAATTCCACCCCCTTTCTCCCAATTTCTATTGTGCTGCACTACCAAGCCAAACCACACAGCCCTAAAATTACCCCCTCTTTACCACATCTCAGTTGTCCCCTAACTCTACAGAGGCATCTCTCTCCCAAACCATTTCCACTCCTACCCTCCACCAGTGCCAACCACACTGCTCCCCATTTCTTAATGAGAAATTTCCACCTCCTCCGCCTCCCCAAATGTGCATATTCCTAACCCTGTGCTCCTGCCTCTCACCTGGCTTTTCCTACTGTAGGAACTCACCTCTCTCCCTCACCCATCACCTAGCAACTTCTCCTGTCATGCATTTGTGACAGAGTAAGACTTTTGCCTTTGTTCTGCCTGATCTGCACATCAGCCTTATTTTTCTGTCTCTTTGAATTTCAGTTTTTCTTCCAAATCTCCTTACCACAAGGATCTTTACACTGCCTGCTTCTTATCCAGAAGGAAGACTCCTCCTGCTTGTCTTGGTGTACTGGTTTTTCCAAGAGTTGTTCCTGGGCCAGCAGCTCAACATCACTTTGAGAATGAGTTGGAAATGCCAATTCTCAACCTCTCCTTGCCAGACATACAGCATCAGAAACTGGGGTCACCTTCCAGGTGATTCTGATGCAGGCTAAGGTTTGCAAACTGCTTCTCTGAGATAAAGTTTATCTTCTGTTCAGTACACTGTGAGCTTCTAAGACTGGCGCTCTGTCTCTATGCTGCAAGTCATTTCTGAAACTAAGAAGGTTGCAGAAAGTGACAGCTTTAAATCGGGTGTGGTGGCACACACCTGTAATCCCAGCACTCGGGAGGCAGAGGCAGGAGGATTGTTGTGAGTTCGAGACCAGCCTGGGCTACATAGTGAGTTCCAGGTCAGTCTCAACTACATAGTGAGACCCTGTCTCAAAAAACCAAAAAAAAAAAAGTGATGGCTTTATAATAAACATAATAGATTCCACATATGACCTTTTAAAATGTATCAAGCAATTTCATGCATTGTTGCTCAACAACACCTGCAATGGTCATATAAGGTATTATTATCCCATACAACAGATGAAAAAACTGAGACTAGACATGGTGAATGCCTTTTTCAAGGTGACACAACACAAGAACCAGGATTTGTGTCATGACTAACAGCAGAGCTTTTTCTACTACATCATGTTACGACAAAGACTTTCTGGGAATATCCATTGGTACATAGCCTATATTCTAACGCTGAAATGATTTTCATTGTCTGGTGATAGAATAAAATAAAAATTCTGTGAAGGTGGTGAAAGGAGGGCAAGGGTATGGGGAAAAAACAAGAACAAGGACATACCATGTAAAGGAACAAGATCCCAATGATAACTGTAACTGTATTGTTTGCTTTAAATGTACCAATAAACAATGGGGGGAAAATTAAAAAATAAAAATTCTGATGCTGCTTCCACAGTGACTCATTGTCTCTCTCTGATAATGTCCACAATGCCCCTCTGCTGGCAAAGGAAGCCCTTATTTTTCCATGTTGTAAAATGAGATACAAAAGAAAAGGTTTCCATTTTTTAATTAAGTGTATTGGTACATTTTAGCTATACATGACGATCACATTCATCGTTGGGAATTTGGTTCTTGTTTTTTTCCCCATTCCTCTTCCCTCCCTTCCACCCCTCCACCCCTCCTTATTTACAAGAACTTTGTTTCTGGTTTTGCCTTCTTTTCTCATAATTTTTTCTTTCCCTTCCTTCCTTTTCCACAACCCCCCCCCACTTTCCCAAGTTTTCCATTCTTTATAACTTCTGTCTTGAATTGTGATGCTAGCTGGAATTGAGAATTTAAGCAGACAGAGAATCTTTCATTTCTGAACATTTTTCTAGTACATTATGCCATAAGAAACAAGTGCACAGACAAGCTGGCAGATAAAAGCCTATTTGTACCAGAAGATGAGTCTGAATAGCTAATGTTTAATGTACACAGCTATGCACAATGTTTAATGAGCATTTTGTATATGCCAGGCACTATGTTCAAACTGCACTGGAGTTAATCTTAACTCTCACTATAAATTTACAAGGTGAACTTTATACAGTTATAAAAATGGAGACAAGTTATTTATAAGTGACAGAGCTGGTGTTTGATACCAAACTTGGTGCTACTGTGCCCCTAGTGTAACACAAAGGTCACATCACCATGGTACCCTTCTCTACCCATGCTATAACAGTAGGCTAATGGTCTTCTCTCAAGCTTCAGAGTCTGCTATCCAGAGAGGAAAAGCACCAGGGAGGAGAGCAGGGTTGCAGATGAGCCCAAGTCTCAGGTGGAAGCCAGTCAATACTAACCAGGCATCAGAGTCTGCAATTAGCCTTTAGAGAAATAATATAGTCACAGGAAGTCAATAAGGCAAATGTTCAATATAATTAATAAAATTTTAAAGGACATATGAGAATAGAAAGAGCAGAGGGACAAGAGTGTGTGGACATGCCTAACATAAGGAAAAAGAGAAAATTAAAACTAGTTCAAACGTTTCATCAAAACACTCCTAAACACCAAGAAGTCACCACAAAGCACCCCAGCTTGAGAAGGACAGGTGCGTAAAAACTCCAGGGAAAAACTAAGCTGGATCTGAGGTAGAGCATTCCAGCATGCTCATCTTCCCTAAAAGAAGGAGACAGGAGAAGGCACAAGTTTGAGTGCTGGGAGGATGGAACACATCCATGTAGACTCTACCCTCCCCTGCTTTGAGCCCTGGCAGGAGGAATACAAAGATCTGGATTCTTTTCTGGCTACTGCTCCTGACTTACTGGCTAAAAACTAAGCACAAGACATTTCTGCTCGCCAAGACTCGCGGCTTCCCCTGGAAAACAGTGGTGACACGCCATGCTCTGGCTGCTTGTGCTGTGCAGCTCTCCTCTGCTCTTCCCATTCTAAAGCTCTCAGGAAAACCTGCCCTTGCCAGTGCTGCTCTCTGCTCCTCTCCACAATTAGCAGCGCTGCCATCCTGCTTCCAGGGAGCTGCAGGCTGTTGACAGAGGTCTGCTGGACAGCTGCGCACCCTCAGACTGCTGGCTCCCTTGCTTCTGGAGCGGCCAAGATTCTTCTCCTGAGACTCGGGTCCACACAGGGTTCCCTCTGTCCATAATATCACTTTATCCCAGTTCCTTGAAGGAACAAGTACAGACATTTTTTGTTTCTTTTTCCCCGTTCCTCTTGCTGAATTAATTTTTAAATCTCATCATTATATTTCTGAAACAGTCCTGAACTTCATCCCCTCCTCTACCCACCAGTGTGGCCTGACAATGGGGATTCGGTTCCCAGCACAGTGCATGTCCTCCCCATGAGATGACCTGCTCCCCCCATGAGATGACCTGCTCCATCGCTCCCTCCCCTACCTGCAGACCTTCTTGCTCTCTACACAACCATCAGTGACCCAGTGAACACACACCATAAAGTAGATCTTCTGTATAATAATCTGATGGGTCTACTGCAGCTTGCAGCTCCTCCCTGTGCCTCAATCCCATTTGCCTGTCCAGTTTTACAGCCCCATGGCTCATCCCATCTCACACACACCCTGCACCTGATAATTCAGCTGCTCCCTCTGCCCAGAAAATCCTCACCTTGGATCTGCTGAACTCCCGGCTCCTTTTCAAAATCTATTACCTCCAAAGTGGGGGTCCCTCCATCCCAGCCCCATCACCCTAGAGGTATGTTCTGGTAGACCACATCACAGCCTTGGTAAATCTTTTTGAGTTATGGTTTCTGGTCCTCATAACTGACTGTCCACTCTGAAAACACATGTCTTACTTCCCTTACTATCAATTCTCATTGCTATGTATGAGCAGGTGTTTAATAAGCTGGCTGAATTTGATTTTGAGTTCATGAAAATGTCTGAGAATCCACCAAGCATTCATAATGGCAGACATGTGCTTAGACTTCTGCAGATTCCTGGGCAGGACTAAAGTCAACAGAATATTAATGGCATTCAGGGGGGGCAGCACAGGTACAGAAGCCTTTTTGTAAATTACCAGAACAACCCAGTTAGGACATGGTGGAATTAATCAAGAGCAAAAGGAGCACTTTGCACTGTCACACAGGCCATGAAAATGCAATTAAATTGAAGATAAAGAGAATTAAAATCTGCAATATAATATTTTGAAAAGCCATGATAGAAGGTGAGGTTTATTGCCAAATGCCTCCTGTGTATTTGTTTAATCAATATACCACCTAGTTGGATTGCACCATATTAAAAGCTTTTAATAAAACAGTCATTTGGATATTAGATTTGAATTCTGGTCAGCATGCTCAAGCTCTTCCGCCAATCTTTTAAAAGCAATTTCCACTTTGTAGCTTCCTAGTAA